GTGTGTGTGTTTGTGAGAGAGAGAGAGAGAGAGAGAGAGAAAGAGAGAGAGGGAAAGTGAGGAAGCAAGCCACCAGGTCCGGGACTGGAACCACAGTCAGCCTTGTGGGAGTCTAGTGCCCTTAACCACCATACCACCTGCTGGCTTCCCATGCTCAAATTTATATTTACACTTCTCATCAAAAAGTGCCACTCGGTCACCATTACCGAAGTAATAACATCCTTTGCCCTTTCCTTGTTAAGAATTCAGAACAAACAGAGGACTCAGTAGGCCACCAGAACAATGAATTTAGAAGCAATTACGACCTCTCTGACTATTGGTCATTGTGACCATCTTCAGTTTGCCTAGGCAAGCCTCCAATTATTCAATCAAACACTAATCTAGATGCTGCTTTAAATGTACTATATAGACATAATTGTGAAAATCAGTTGTTTTTAAATAAGAAAAATGATCCTGGAAAATATGAGTAGAGCTGATTTGATCAGAAGAAAGGCTTTTAAAAAAGAGCTGAGACTTTCCTGATTTTGGGAAAAAAAAGCTTTAGCTCAAGCCAGAGTTCAAGACCACCCTTCTTAATGATCTGTCCTACAGAGTTTGGACTTGCTAGCCAGCCCCCTTCAATATTGTAAGTCAACTTCTTATAACAAACGTTTTTATATAGATATCTCCTATAAGTATATAGGAGATCATATAAATATCTTCTGCTTCTCTGCTGAGCACTGATAGAAGCTTGGAACATAAGGGAGAGAGAAAAGAAAAAATGACAGAAGGCTGAAAACTCATGCTATCAATTACAAGGGATTATTTCCAGGCCTTGATCCCATATAGAGTTTTTTCAATGACTTTGAAATTAGTTTAGAATAGATGACTCTTATTTGTTTCTATTTTCCTACCGTTGTGAAAGGGCATTATCTGTACCTGTTACTTGATGACTATTTTGCCGTGTATCTTGGGAGCACCTAACTTGTTTCAGAGTTTCACAGTCAGATGAAGAGGACGTGCCTCAGGGTACATTGTATTCAGGGCCTCAGTCATCGCAGATTTAGATGACGGAGGCGATGATATTCAGGGTTTTGAACTGATCACATTTAGATGAGAGTTGGACTTTGAGTTATGTTGTAATGGATTGAGACTTCAGGAAAATTGAGAAAGAGGAAAGCATGTTGCATGTGAAACAGACATGAACCTTTGAGAGATAGAGGGTCGACGGTGGTAGGCAAAATAATGGCCCCCCAAAGATATCCAAATCCTAATCCCTGGAAACTGCATATGTTAGTTTAAAGGCAAAGGAGAATTAAGGTAATGGATGGACTTAAGATTGTGAATTGGTTGATTGGAAAATAGAATATCTTGAATTATCCATGTGGGTCCAATGTAATTAGAAAGATTCTTTAATGTAGAAGAGGGAGTCAGAAGAGTCATTGTCAGAGTGACACAGAAGAAGAGAGACTCGCCCAGCAATTGTTGGCTTTGAAGATGGAAGAGGCCATGGGTCAAAGGACACAGAAAGCCTCCAGCACCCACAAGAGACAAGAAAACAGATTCTATCTTAGAGCCTACAGAAAGGAACAGTCCTTAAACACCTTGCTTATAGCCTAGTGATACCAATTTCAAATTGTGGCCTCACCATGAGGATATAATAAATTCTGTTGTTTTAAACCACCATGTTTGTGGTAATTTCCTGCAATAATAATAGGCAACTTGCATTCTTGGAAGAGCCAGGAGAAAAAGAATCTGTAAGTCTAATGATATATATGCATGTCTCATCAACTTTCTAGATTACTTCTATAGGTGATAAATGGGAATCACCTTACTAATTTATTGATTATGACAAATAAATAACTTACACGAATATGAAGTTCTTCATTGATCGATTCTTTTTTATTGGTCTTTCTAACATCCAGGTACCTGACCAGAGGGCCAATTGTGATTCCCTAGATAGAAATAAACACAAATAGAGTTTTCTTGAAGTGAAAACTGTCACTACAGAGAGAAAAATCACATAGCAAAATTATTTAGAATATTCAATTTATGTGTGTTTGTTTTATATTAGCTTCTACTAGATAAATTCTCCATATTTACTTTACTTCTGAATTATTTTAAATACTACCCTAAGAATGAATATTATTGTCTGTATTTTAGTGCAGAAACTCAGTTCATAGCTTAAAATATTGTTTCATTAGTTCAGAGCTAATGCCCAGGTAAAACAAAATCGTATGCTATTTTGTACTAACTGGAACCTCATTTTCAAAGATGCATACTAGAGCAGCTATCATTGGCCTGATAATCAGTACTCTTTTATTACTGCGCCATGTTCATTAAAAGGAAACTCATGTTAGAAATTAAGGGATGATGAGAAACATGATCTAGAAACATCTGAGAGTTTTGTTTGGGTAGTACACACAAACCTCATCAGAGAGGTACCTTTATTTGTATTTTACTAATTGAAAACTGAAAGAATCTCCTTATTTGAAATATGAAAGAAATCTACCAACCTGAATAAATACAGTAAAATATATAACTACTAGAGTAGCAGTGACAAACATTTTCTTCCTAGGAAAAAGAGACAGAGGGAGCAAAAATGCAAGTGAAAAACTTCCAGCTCCTCGAACGCCACTGTAGAAAATTATGCACTGGTCCTTGATGGAGAAGGGGAAAGTCCGAAACTGGTTACTGACATAGAAGAGGGCAAACACGCCTGGAAAGGGGGAGATACGTATTAGCAAGGAGGGTCACGGGTGAGCAGAGATTCAGTGCTAGCCAAGGAGGGTCATGTGTGCCTGCCCTCCGGACGCGGCTGCCTAATTCCATCACACACTCGTGATCATCCATCCCAAACAGAACATCCTTCAAGGCTTTCACTGTGTGGCTATTTGTGAGGCAGTAGTGCTTCAAGTTAGAAGGTTTTTTCCTAGTAGTTTCCTAGCATGTGTGTTTATGAGTGTATGTGCACATGTGTGAAAACTAATAGTTTTGATATCTTCTGATGGAAGTATATATTTTCTAATCTCCACTCAGAATGATTGCTCTTTTTTTTTTTTTTTTTTTTGCTATAGGGCGCATGTGCTCTCCAGAGAGAGAGAGAGAGAGACAGAGAGACAGAAAGCGAGAAGTCACCCCCCAGGGGGGATGGCCACGCCACAATCCCTTCTCCTCCTTTCTCCTCTCGGGATCTTGGGCATGCATGCACACACGCCCGGCGTGAGTTTAAGCCACCAGGTCTGGGATGTGAACCACGGTCGACTATGTGGGAGTCCAGCGACATAGCCATTACACTAACTGCTGGTCCTTCTATCTTTTAAAACTAATTAGGGCTCGGCTGTTATTTGGGAGACAAAAAATATTCTTATCTTATATTTTCACTGGGTACCCGAAGGAGGTCTGTAATTTAAATGTGAGAGGAGCCCTTTGGGTGACTGAGGTCTTTAGAATGTGAGGAGATGAACCTTAATGGGCCTCCTGGCTCTTCTTGAAGATCAATGTAAATGAGAAAGGAAGCCAGCAAAGGCTTCGAGGGGCTTCTTATTACCAGTGAGCTTATCAAAGGAAGCTTGGTCAAACCATAGAAGTATTTTCAACCACACTGATTTTCTATCCCAAAGTCGCCCATGCAACTGAGCCAACGCAAATGGTGGTTCTTGGTATGAATCTTCCTTCCACTAAAGCTCTAATTAAAGAAGAGGTTTCAAGATGTTATAGAAGGGGACTTCAAAACGTTTGTTGGAAAATGTAAATAAAGTATGAGGTAGATTTGGTGCAAAAAAAAGAAAACAGAAATGCATCCGTAGTTTTTTCATAATACATATTTTTATGACCTTTTCGAAGATCTCTGATAGTGACACTCTCCTCATGTATTTCTAATCACATATGCTTCATTGCAAGCCTCTTTTGTTAACACACACATCATGCAAAACAAATAATAACATTATTCAAGAATTTTTTTTATCTTGTCTTGTTTGTCCTTGTTCTTGCAAATGCCAGTCATGTGACCTGAGGCAAGGTCTTCAGACTCATCTTCTTAATAGAAGTAACTAATATTTATCTCAGAAAGTAGATGTAAATATCAAATAAAGTTAATACCATAGATGATATAAAGCATGGCCATCTATGTTATAAGCCGCCATGAGTGTGAACTATGATTATACGGGATGAGTAGGGGTGGAAAGAGAACGGGCTGCATGAGAACCGAATTCTGCCACTTGGCTCTGTCGATCACTAAGGCATTACCAAACTGGGCACTCTCTTGTTGGCTGTTCCGTCAATGATCTCAACTGTAAGATTATGGAGTTGAGCTGGATGGTCAGCAAAGTTCTGGTACCCACAATACTTATCCTCCTCTTGTTGAACTCTGCATGGTTACTTCTCTTGACATTAGCTCGATTCCCCTGTAGATTTGTGAAGTATTAAAAATGAGAGTAATCTAATAAACTTGACCAATCTCATCACCTCATAGGCTAGGAGAAAGATTTCGAATAGTTAAGTCTATCCAAGTTCAAATAATTAGCAGTAAGACTGCAGGATTTGATTTGAGGTTATAAACTTAGGTTCCAGTTTCCTTAATTCTTTTCCCCCTCAGTCCAACAGGGGTATTTGCATGTGCGTGTATGTGTATGTATGTGTGTGTATACACACATATTTATGTGTGTGTATGTGTATGTATGTGTGTGTATACACACATTTTCAGATTAACTTTAATATTCAATATTTTAATATTTCTGCATTCTTGTTATTTTTCCCTAGATCCTAAAACCCATCCTAAATTACAAATTGGAACTGATATATGCAAGACAAATTCTCAGCTATTTCTCCTAATTGTTGATCAAAGTCATTTTTTTAAAGCTTCAAATATTGCTCAAAGTCACTTAGAACACAATTGTTTCTAATCAGAAGACAACACATACAGTGCTCAGTGCTCTTTTCTAGCTCTTGAAACATGAGTGTATAAAATAAATCAGCAACCATGATCTGGCTTTCAAGTTAGGTATATTTTACAAGGGTAATGGAATTTACATTAGAGAGTGCCCTTTACTAGTTAATACTGAGCTCTTTTTAAAATAAAGGTTCACTCCCTGGTCCTTTATTTACCATACATCACACATTCATGCAATCAATTCTCAAAACCACCTGTACTATTTAGGGAAATGTCTTCTAACAGTAGCTGTCTTACATAGTACACAATTTGTGAGATCTCACTTTTCCTATAAAGGAAGTGTAAAGGACCACAGTTTATAATCTATGTTTGATTTAAGGTGCAAGGGGTACAAGCTGGCAAAAGAGTTAAAAGCAAGGGATATATTTACTGAGTTATATTTAAATGTGTAGGTGTGAAATTTCTCTCTTCAATTAAAAAATAAATACTCTCTGCTCCAGCCTTGCTTCAGTATAGAACCTGATCACCCACTAATTACTTACAGCAGACTGAGTAGCAAATTGAAAATATTCCTGGTTACTACAAGGTGCCTATACTCCCCTAACCAGCAGGAACAATTAGCATCAACTCATTACTTATGTTTTTACATGACAGAAAGGACTAGGAAAAGGAGAAGAGAAGGCCCAGGAGGCTCGGGCTCTGTCTGCTCTTACTGATGGCTCTCCAGATCTGGCAGAAGGCCAGCGTGAAGCAGACGAAGGCCCAGTTCCACTCGTGGTTCTTGCCCACAGTGGACACGCCCATGAAGATGAAGATGAGGGTCTCGCTGACGCTGCTCAGCATCTTCATGAAGTACTTGATGGTCGTGTAGGCCTTCTGAGACACGTTTTCTTCCACATACTTATTCATCTTCATTGCACAAGCCGTGATGCTGA